ATTGATGTAATATAGGGACCAAATATGTAATCATCCCAAGTTTATGATATAAATAATATAATAAATTAAATTTTTCGTAAATTCATTCATTTTCTCCCAAAACCAAATTGGTAATCGTAAACCGTAAAATTTGATCGATTTGATTATATTTAAAAATTTATTTTGACATTTGAATCGAGTCAGGTATGAATGAATTGAATCGCAAGATTTGAATCATAAATCATAATCCAATGTCATATAATTTCCCAGCACCAAAAGAATAAATAAAGAAAATCGCAAACTCAACATAATGAGAAATTCAAGGAACATATAACTGCTACTTGAAATTTATTTATACCTCTAAACCATTTGTAAAACCTTCATCCGCATTGTCATTAGACTAACCATCTCCCATTATACAAGAATCTAGATACTGAAAACAGGAATATAAATTTCATAATAATAATAGTAATAATAAAATCTAGATATAGGCTAATACCTATCAGTGCGAGCAAAACGTTCTCCGGCGACATAACCATTACCGGGAGCTCCCTCAGCTTGCCCTTGAAGTTCATTTTTCCTATCAGAGCCATAGACAGGTAAAATGGCATAATTTACTTTTACTGTTCCTAACATCGAATAAAATACGAGAAGCACAAAAATTACCTTCAAACAGGTCTTGGGCCGAGGCAGTTACACACTGCAGCCATCGCTTATTTCGTACCGCATGCCTTTATTCCGGTAGCCTTTAACGGAAGTTAGAACGACAGTGCATCGGAAATAGTTTAGTAGCTCTCTCTCCTGTCGAACAAAAAGGGCATCGAAAATATTCTATTCCCCAAAATCAGATCTATAACGAGATCAGTAAACAATTAAATCTTCTCTTAATGCAGGAATAATTTGCTCGAGGCACCTATGTGTTTATTTTTGTGCAAAACTGAAACACCTATTTTTACTTCACCTACAAAGAAGAAGAACCACTATAAACATGAGCATAAAAGCATCGAATAAATGAATCGTTACCTTTCCTCTTACTGCAACACCCCCTCGCTTCTTAATGGAATTGAAAGGAGAGACATGGAGAACTACGGATTCTGATTTCGTTATGTTAAAAGTTGGAAATATAGATACACTATCGTACGACTTAAAAGTACCTTAACACCCCATTGAAGGACAGCTTTTTCGGTTGGAGATCCCGAAACCTCCATTGCACCCTCCTAAACACTACAAGAGATAAAAACTCGGTTAATGATCACACTCCCTTCCGAAGCACAGACATTTATTTACGAAAAGACTTGAAAAATCCATGCTCACGTACTGATGAAAAGAATACATTAGATAGAAAAACACTGCCGGAAGTGTTCTGTGCAAGTCCCTCGTCTAGAAGAGAGGAAATTGTTGCATGCAACTGAGCACCGTCTTCAGGAGGATCCATCTTCTGTTTCCCAACATAAGCCTCAACTACAGTCATCTGTCTTACGTGGTTTGTCAAAGTTAGTTACACCAAAGTCGGAAAAAAAAAAAAGGACAGAGAAAGTAAAATAACCTGATTTAGTGTCAATGTTGCAGTCTTGTCACTGCAAATGGTTGTTGCAGATCCCATGGTTTCACAGGCGGAAAGTCTAGGCACCTGAAAGATATGTTGAGTTAATAATAAAGCTGTAATACAATTGAATAAACTAAATATTCTGGGAAAGATGAAGTAAAGTCGACATACCAAGGCCTTGTCAGCCATCATCTTTTTCATGGAGTATGCTAGGCTGTTATAAATTCAAGATAAATCGAAATCAAAATAAGGACAAAACGGCAACAATCGATGTACACAAAAGACAAGTTATGATACTCAAGACAAGGTTACAGCCAACGGGAGCCCTTCCGGGACTGCAACCACCACTATCGTGACCTAAACGAAGGACTTCAGTCAATGAACAGAAAAAGGAAGGTTATCTAACGTATTCGCAATTACGTATCAAAATGTAGAAACTTACAGCAGCAGTTATGATATGTGTATAACCCCATCAACTATTTCGCCAACACTGGTCTCTCCATGGACGAACTGAACAGATCCATCGGGATTTTTTTACGTCCCCGTGAAAAATCTGAGGTAATTAATTTGTCAATGTTACTGATACTCAGAAAGTGGTCGTAGAATAAGATAACACGAAACACTGCCCAAATTACCTGATTAAGAGAATAATCAGCACGAAGAGAGCCACGGTGAGCCCAACGATGCCTATAAACGTTGCAACACCATTCAGGCGCACCTGTAATGTATCAACAGGATCCATAATTGGTTTTATTTATTTTCATGTAGTAAGTAAACAATGAAAAGATGAACCGTTATATCCAATAAGTACCTGCAAAGGAGTTTCTTCACCGGTATCTTCTGAAATACTGGCCATCAACAATCCCCATTCGGTGTTGATTCCGACACCAGTTACCTGAAACAGAAATTTGAACTTGTTATAATAATTCAACATCTGAAATTGGAACAGAAATTAAGCGTGGTCGAAAATTCGTTTACTGGAGGTGGGAAAGTTTTATATCTTACCATCATTGTTCCGGCACCAGCTGCTACTTTGCAACCAGACATAAAAAATGGAGATTTGTGGACCTGCAATAATGGCATTGTGTGTGAGAAATAAAAATATAATTATCTAATATTATAGAACCTTCAAAATAAAGTCTAAGCAGCTCACAATCTTGCTTTCTCCAGTCATGTTGGATGCGTCAATGGCGAGAGAATGTCCGCTTATCAAGATTCCATCGGCAGGAACCTGTGTAAAATACATTAGGAGACTCTTTTAGACAATGATGCGTGGTCCAAGAAAGTATATCGAGTAAAATCGGATCTGTTATCACCTGATCACCAATCTGGAGAGGTATGACATCTCCAACCACAATCTCGTATAGCGAAACCTTGTTTCTTCTGCCACCTCTGATCATCTGTACATATGTTTGTCCATGAGAGTACTCTAAAGAGAACAATAACAAGAAGGTAAAAAGCTTGAATAAGTTCGTGACTGGAATATTACCTCCAATTTGATGTTCCGTTTTTCTTCGTTTAAATTTTGAAACTGGAGGGACTGCCGATAATCACTAGTTGCTGAACAACAGATGCAATGATAAAAAGTGAAAATTATATTACTTCTCTCCTAAGGTTATAAATAACCAATCTGAATTTTATAACCTGTAACAAAAATAACCAGAAGAACAACAAAGGTGATGCTTCCTCCGTCGTACCATCCTTCCTCCAGGCCCTGGAAAACACGAGCAATTCTTAAATTTATATATGAAGGAAATTATATAAATTCTTTTAATAATATGGTATTGTTTTATTTCAAGCCAACCTCAGTTTTTATTCCGAGAGCCAAAGAGGCCACGGCGGCTATTATTAAAATAATGAGAGTTAGATCCTGCCAAGCCTCCCATAGGAATCTCTGCGCAAAAACAAACGTCGAATAAGTAAATGGTGGAAATGTATAAGTAAGAACATCCTATCAAACAAATATAACACTCTAGACAAGTCTTACCAAGAAACCCCTTCCTTTTTTCACGGGATACGTGTTTGAGCCGAAAGCATTCTTTCTTCGTGATAACTCATTTTCGTCACCGTATATCCCTGTTTCGACGTCTGTTTTTATCATATCTGCCAACCCTTTAACCTGAATAAAATGACGGTCGAGATTAATATTTATGCATATAGCATATGTTAGCAAACTTCCTAGAGAGATGGTGAAGGGAAAAAGGAAGTGTTACCCCTCCATATTGTTGCAGTGCTGTAATATTATGATCCATGTTCATCGAAGCAAGTTGCTCGAGTCCGATTTCATAATCACCGTTAGGAGATGGTGGAGCTACTGTCGTGCCTAATACTGATTTGACGAAAATCAAATCAGGTTTGTAGCAGAGATGGAAATAGGAAAACCCGCTTAAAAAGAAGCAACGCTCGAAAAATACCTATTGCTCGTTGTCTAGCCAACTTAAAGAGCAGTGCAGCCTACAACCACCGACACCAGAATATCAAGAATCGAATTAATAAAAGTACGGAATGAAGACTAATGTGTTTTAATATTACCCTTATGACCTGAGCATGTGCTCTGATCATCCGTCTTCTCTTTTCTTGTTCTTCGTCTTTTTTCAGGTCTAACGTGTAGCGGAAACATCACGAAGCATTAAGCACGAGGGCGGCTTGCTGCAAAAGGACCAAGACTTAGACAATCAGAAAGAGGTGCACATGCATGCATCAAGGAAACAACTCTTACGATAGAGTCACAACTCTTTAATTAACATTTCAATAAAGTTACAACCCTTCAAAATAACTCTAGAGACATGTCCTTTTATTCAATAGTTATAACTCTTTTAATTACCACAATAAAATAGCCAATAAAATTATAAATAATTTATCCATTAAATAACTTAATATAATATATAATATTATATACGTAATATATATAGACCACAATATTCTTACAATAAACACATAATTTTGGGTTAATCCCATTTTGTACCCTTAAAATGTGGTATTTTTGCACTTTGCACCCTTGAACAAACTTAATAGCATTTTGAACCATCGAAACACAATAAATCATTCACAATGTACCATGTGCTGAGAAAACTATATTTTTTTCGTAAAACATTTTATTGTGAAAAAATAAATTAATATGTTGATGAGATGTATTTTTATTTTTACACTTTGCAATTTCGAAATGATTGATGAATAAAAGAAAATATTTGACATTTGATATCATAAAAAATACCACCTAAAATATTAAATTACCTTTAAAAATTCACACGGAGTGCATGAAGCATTATTCACCGTGTTTCTAGGGTACAAAATGCTATAAATTACTTTTTAGGGTGTAAAATGCAAAAAACCTATATTTCAAGGGTGCAGAGTACAACTAAGCCCATAAATTTGCAACAATATTTTCTGAACATTTATTTAAAACCCAGCCCAGTTACCCAAACCCAAGCCCGTTTATCTATCTGGATCCATTCAACTCTTTTCATAGTATATTCGTAGAACCCCCAAAACCCTCGACGAGCGCAGCTTCTGCGGAAGCTCAATCCTCTGACAGATTGATCATCAATGGTGAAACGACGTCGCGAGCCGGATTTCAATGGCGCCAATACAGAAACGGCGGATAATCGGACGGTGTTTGTCGACACCAGCCTCGATACCCACCTCGCCGTCACCGTATCCAACTCCGATACAGTATCCGATTTCAAAAGTATGCATTCTCTTATTCGCTATTTTATTCCTATGTATATATTTTTCTGCATTTATGTGATTGAAATGGTGGTCTCCAGATATATACATGTGTATATATATGCACATTAGTGCAAAATGTTGATCCTTTGAAATTGTAAGTTATGTGAAATTTTGTATGCTGCCATGGAATGCTGTTGCTTATTTGAAAAGAAAAGTAATAATAATAATAATATCATATTTACGCGTAGAGGGAGCTTCGAGAATTGACTTTCGAATAATAATAATAATAATATCATATTCACACAGAAAGAATGAATTTCTGTGTCTGGGTGTGTGAAAGGGGAAAGAGAGGGCTTTTTTTCTTTTTTCTTTTTTAACTCCGCAATTAGTGGTGGGTACGGTTACTGGAGGTTTTTTCAGGTGCTTTTGTAGAGTGGGAGACCTTTTTGAAATTTTATATTCCCGTTAAATATAACCTCCTCTGTACATGCATGTCTGTAAATGTGTGTGTAAAAATTGTTGCCACCGTAAAGTGAAGGGTCGGGTCGGAACGGGACGGAAGTTGGAAACATGAGATTAGATTAAGAAAAAATAAGAAATTGGGTTGATTTTTCTTTTGGGGTTAAAAAGCAAAAATACATATGTCAATGTTGGTCGTAATTTTGAGAAGTCAGTCAGTCAGTCAGTCACACTTGGTCGTAAGAAGAAAAACAACACTTTACACTTATGGTTCGAAAATGATGATTGAATGGTCTGATTGAATTGCAAACATGTCTAGATAAAGTTTTCGACGAAATGTTTATGCCCTAAACTTTAATAAACTGATGGTAGATCAGCCTTTTTTTTTTCCCCCTTTCATACTCAAAGTTTTCTTTTATATATTTTGTGCGTGCAGGGAAGACAGCGTTGGAACATATGCGGTGCTTCCCGGAAATCGGGGAGATACATATCCATTCTTTAAAGGTACATACGTATGTTCTTTTAGAAGTGTATTATAAGTAGAAGTAGAGTTTAGTGTCTTATGCTGAGTTTGTTTGTCACTTGGGTAGGTAAAACGTAGAGCGGTCTTTTACCACCTGCCTGAAACTATGCTTGTTAGGAGTGCCCTTCAAGCGGGAAACAGTAGTTGGTTTCTTTCAGCTGATGCTTCCGCCACTCCCGCGCGTCAGTTAAATCAAAATTCCTTACAGCTTGATCCAAGCTACGGTGTTAAGATGGACGCAAAGAATATTGATGATAATAATTGCAGAGATTTGTTGCCTGTTGTAAATGTGTTGCAAGCCCTTCCAATGCCCTTGCCAGATGGTGTTAGTGAAAAGAATTTAGCTTCAGAAATGATTCCTGCATGTGAGGTCGATAAATCTTTGGAAAAGGCAATTGAAATTCCGAGCAACAGTTATTCAGAGGAAGATTGTATCGGAACTGGTGAGTCTCGTGCAAAGAAGAAGCGGAAAATAAGCCACACAGAAGATGTATGTTGTGATCCTAGTTTGAAAGATACGTTCGCCTTGTCTCATTTATCCGGTAATGATATATCACTAACCGAGACTGTGGGCAGTGGAAATTCAACGGTTGATGCAGTAAAAGAAGCTACTGGAGATATTGTACTATACCAGCAAAATGAAAAACCTAATACGTCTAATGCAACCGATGAGGTTTCAGGTTCGAGGAATGATCAATGTGATATTGAGAGCGGGGTTGGGTTGGAGGGTAAATCTGCACCTGATACAGCAGAAGAGGGTAAGTTAGGGAGCACTATGGAATCTCAGAATATTCTAGATTCTGACACAAGGAAAGAAAACACTTTGTTAGAGGGTACAGTTCCTGAAGATTTGATGGCCAGCAAACTGGAGTATGAACTTGGCCAAGATGTTATTATCGAACATTCAGGGGGTGTCTCTGTTAGAGTTCCAGATTCTAGTGGTGCAATGGAAGATGATGTTATTTCTGATGGAAGTCAGGCGAATAAAATGGAAGCCCAGCAAATCCAGGATACCACAGATATGGAGCAGACAGCAAAAGATGATAGCATTAATCCATGTACTGAAAATCACGAAGTTGATAAAATGGAAGTAGAAAAGGGATTGTCTCTAAATTGTGATCGTGAAATTTCAACGCTGTTGAACAGCAAAGATTCAGACCATGCTGATCCAGATTTAATGCCAAATGAAGCAAGTTTGTCGTCACATGTTTGCCATGCAAATGTCATTGTGGAACCGGATTCTAGTGGTGCAATGGGACATGTCAGTTCTGATGAAAGTAAGAAGAAGAAAAAGAAAGCCCAGAAAATGGCCAAACCTGAAATCTCTAGTGGCGGTAGGAAGAAGTCGAAAAGGAAGGGAAAGAAGGAAAAGAAATCTGCCACCAGTAACATAGAAAAGTCAGGCATTGAACAAACTGATAATGGTGGCATTGGCTCGTCGGAGTTGCTTTGTGCTCCAACTGATCCTATCCCAGAAGAAACTCACAAGGAAGAAAGCATATTGTACCATAAAGAAATGGATGTCAACATAGCATTGTTGGATAGTTCCACTCAAGATCCTAATGAGGAAGTCAAAGATACTGATAAAAAAGAGGCAGAGTTTTCTATATTGACTCAAACTAAGCAAGCTTTGGACGGTGTGGACACTGGGAACAAAACGGTAGAGGAGAAGACCCAACTTTCTGCTGCTCACGCACATTTGCCTGCTGTAGTAGAGTTCACTGATGTGGAGAAGGATATCAAGACTTCAGAGGGTAAGATTGAAAAATCCAAACGAAGAAAGAAGAGAAAACACGCTGAATCAGATGTCCAAGAGAATTTGCCATCCAAGGATCAAAAGGTTGATATTGAAGCATTAACAACAGAGGAAAATTTAAATGGTTTTGTAAATTCCGAACAGAAGAGAGGTCATGAAGCCTCCTTGCAAGTTCTATCCAGTAAAGGTGAAGAGAAGCTTGAGGAGATACATACGGCTCCTGTGATTACTGATGATCCAGCTAAAACTTCCGAAAATGGAGGTGTAGGCATTAACTTCAAGGAATACTTTTTGCCTGGCCAAAACAAAGAGATAACTGATTCTGGCGATAAAACTGAAGAAATGAGAACTTCGAAAAACGTTAGAGATGACGTTTTACCTTCTGTTGGCGTCTCAACTGACTTACATAACTCAATCAAGAAAACTAAGAGTAAGAGAAGTGAGAAAAAAACTCGTGTAACAAAGGATAGTGGGAGTAGGCAGGGAGACTCCGCACAGAATTGTGCTTTTGATGAAGTAATCTCTAAACCCTCCAAAAGATCTTCTAAAAGTAGGGTGAACGAAAAGAACCCATCTTTGGATAAATCAAGCTCGAAAAAGACCGAGACATTTCACGAAAGGAGAGGAAATAAGAGATTACATTCGAGTCTGAATGTAACTGATAAATTGGTGATGAAGACTTCGAAGAAAAAGAGTATGTTAACCATACCAGGAGCAATTTTTCAGGATAATAGTGGTGAAAGTTCTGCTGATGATAATGGAAATGTGCATTTGAAAGGTAGCATTGCCAGTCCACCAGACAGCTCATCCGAGTCAGACAACGCGATAGAGAAAGGTGAATTTCTAACTAATATACGTGTGTGTGTGTGTGCGTGTCTCTTTATATATATGTTGGGGAAACTTTTTCATGATTTCACTACTGCATGATATTCCTTCGCTTTCAAGTTTCAAGAATTTATCCCGTGTTCATACTTCGCATTTTTTCATCAGCATTAAGATTATTTGTATTTGCTAGAAGTGAGCGCTTCACTTACATATTATGCTAATAAATTAGTATCTTGATATCTCAGCTGATGCAAATAATTGGTTCGTTTTTGTGAATGTAACTAGGTGTCATAGCTGTGTAATGGGGTGCTTGCGTCACTTCTATATATTTACATAATTGCTAATGACGTCTTGTTTTTTGTTTTTTGTGTTGTTTTTTTTCTTGGCCTCCGCAATTAATATAAGTATATTTATATTGATCACAGGATCAAATGATGTTGAAGGGAGATCTACTGGTCGAAAAAGCATTTCAGAAGTGGAGTAAGTTGATCATATATTTCCAGCCTTTACTACTCGTTTCTGTCCAACGCTAAATCTTTTTTGAGTCTTGTGGACATTTCTCTTGTGACATCACTTTATGAAAATCACGAAACTATTTGCAAATTATTAGGTGTTATTTGAAGTTTGGTTACTGAAATAACTTTCCGGGCCAATCCGGAACTATGGAAAATTGAGCTGTTTTCTTGGCTTATTGGGAGAATGAATACATGTGTTAGAGCTCAAATCTTACAATGAATCTTATCTGGGGAAACAAACGAGAACTAAGATTGTATTTACTAACATTCATGATTTTTTTTTTTCCGGTAATGAAACTTATACTTATGAAATTCTTATTGCAACAGCATCTCTGCCTCGAAGAATATGACAATGGATTTGATATTGAGAAGCTCTAAGCGGTTCAAAAAGGCAAAGCTCAATGCCTATGACAATGGATATGATGATTCTGAGAATCTCGAAGAGGTTCAAGAAGAAGGTAAAGCAGCAGATATAGGTCTCTCAAAATAAGTCGAGCTCGAATTTGTTCCTGATAACTCCTCAGAGGTCATTTTGTCTTGCCCCACGTAACCCCCTTTTTTTTTTAAGCTAAGTTGTGAGTTAAATTCGAGAACCTCCTGTGTCCACAAATGTAATCTTATCTTTCATATTTTTTGTCTTGTTCCTTAGAGGTTGATGCAATGCGAGTCTATTCCTGGTTCGAAAACGAGAAAGCTTGTCTGTTTGTTTTTTCCTCATTTTGTGGAACGATTATCGATTTTGTGCCGTTTTGAGAGGGCGTAAAAGGGAAAGCGCTTTTTTTTTAGTGATGTTTGCTATGCTTTGCATATATCTTAGTTTGAATGCTAAATCAATCCATGTTAATATACGGCATTATCGAATAATATTCCCTAGAAATACACAAGCTGTGTGTCGATTTTTTATTTTTTTTTGGACAAAAAACAAAAATTATCCGTGCGACGCACGGTTTGTGTATTTGTTGGAAATATTATTCGATAATACTGAATATTTAAAAATAAATTAAATTAAATCACAAAATATTGTAGAAGAATGTGTTGTCTAGTTAGTGAAAAAAACATGAATATATATATATATATAATGGGGAAAAAGAACATTTAATTTGATCTTGGACTGCAGTTCTCATATAGATTTGGCATTGGACAAAAGAATTGAAGGCAAATAAAATCAAGTATTTAAAAAAAAAAATCAGTAAAAAAAATTAAATAAAGTAAAGGTGAAGAATTAACAAATATTGTTCATAGCGCACGTGTGACCGGTTTTCTCCGAAAAACAACCTCAGTATCCAACCCGAACCCATCAACGGGCCGAACGTGAACCAGCTCGGATCTCTTAAACAGCTTCTTAAGCGGCTCAACGCTGAACAAGTCATTAGCCGAGTACTTATCCGACCGTCTCTTCAGCGCCACGTGTAACACACACACCCCACCAGGCCTCAGCGTCCGTTCGATCTCCCCAACAAACTTCTCCGGGTACAGCGCGTGGTCGAACACGTTCGAGAACTCGAAGTCGAAACTCCCGTCATCGAACGGCTGGTGATGGAAGTCCCCCCTCACAACCAACGGCGAAGATGGCACCAGATCCAACCCGATCGAGTCGGACACTCCGACCCGTTTCAGAGCCTCCACTTCCTGCCCCATTCTCGCCCCGACGCTCAGAGCTTTGGAGGAGTTGGAGAGAAGGTTCTTCTGCTTGAGATCGCCGAAGAACCCGGCGAAGACCCGGATTTTCCGGTCCCAGTCTCGGGTTTTCCATATTTCTCGGAGCTTCGGGTTGAGGGTTTTGTTGAGCTGGTGGTGGATGTAGGACTCGTAGGTGGTGTATCCGGGTCGGATCTTCAGATCCGGGATGGCGGCGGCGGCGGTGGTGGTTGGGAGCGGTGTTTTGTGGGAGATGTAGAGGAAGAGGAGTGTTGTGGAGAGGATGAAGAAGGCGATGAAGCTTTTGGATTTCATGTATGGTGGTTTGATCATATATATATCTTTATATGCTGCTGCATGCATGGCTTGTAATTAATTAGTTGTATGTATATATATTACATATATATATACGGTATGTATAATGTATGTATATATGTGCGCATCTAAATTATTTTTGCAGGGAAAGTGTGTACTGTGAGTAACTTGCGTCTCTCTCTCACACACACACGACGTGAGTGTGTGTGAGAGAGAGAGTTTGATGGATTGCATGCATGCGCTGCTCAGGATCATAGAACAGGTGGAGAGAAATAAAGATGCATGTTTTACATGTGTGAGTGAGTGTACATTACTAGTAGTATGCAATTATAAAATTTATACCAGCGTTAATTTGTTAAAATTACTAATTTGTTTATACTTTACACAATTGTTATATTTTATTATTGGGGTCATTTGATATACACCCCTAGAATGGAAAATATATAGGGATAAGTCCACCCCTAAAATTCTTTCTTTGAGATACACCCCTGGAGAGGCAAAAGTAGTATAGTGCCCTTATTTGTAAATTTTAACCAACTGCATTCAGCTTTTCCAACTGCATTCAGCATTATAGTTAACTGCACTCCACATTATTAGACCTGCATTTATCATTTTTTCAGATTTTTTAATAAAAAATTATAAATTTTTATTTTATTATTATTTTTGTATACGTACCCTCTTTTTGTATTTTTTTTTTAATTTTTTTTTAATTTTTAATTTTTTAATTATTTTTAATTTTTAATCTTTAAATTTTTTTAATTTTGTTTTTTAAATTTTTTTTTTATTTTTTTTAATTTTTTTAATTTTTTAATTTTTTTTTTAGTTTTTAATATATTTTTTTTTAATTTTTAATTTACTGTACTGAAATTGACTACACATGACTATCGTATACCACACATGTATAGTTATATATAGCCATGTACTGTTTTTTTACCCCAAAGCTATGATATTATAAAAACCGTTGATTATATATATAAAAAATCATCTATACCAATAAAAAAATTCAAAATTTGATTCTTGATATTATAAATAATTTAATGCCTAACAAAAAAGTGAAAAACAAAACACAATCATCAAGATCACTATACATCAGAAAAACCACATAGTTTGTATATAAATATATATAACTACATGGAACTAATACATGACTACAGTTATCTATACGACTAAATTTGACTCAAATCACACTTGTCAATACGAGAACCGCTTGTTTTGAACAACGAACACAATCCACTCCGCAAAAACTTACTACATAGTAGTTCAAACACCAAGACCTGTGAAAAAAAAAAGAGTTAAACAAACAACAAATTTTGCTTCAAATTTAAATGTGCACACACGCACTATCACCTACTGGTATACATAGATACTCCCCACATAACTCATACATGACTACATGACTACATAGTTTATATATAACTATATATTACTACATGTGACTACACCATATATTACTGTATGTTACTACACGTGACTATATATTACTATATGTAACTACACCATATATTACTGTATGTTACTACACATGACTATATATGACTACATGTATATGACCATATGTGACTATATACATGTCTGTGACTTTATTTGTCCCTTCAAGTACCTGACTTTGTTCTCCAGGCGATACGACACGACTTATATTATCAAAATCAAATTACAACAGAGTATGCTAGTCATTATTCTTCGTATAATCAAAGGTCAAAGATCAAAGCAAGTTGAAGTGGAACACCATAGATAAAATAATAGTTGAAACACACGTAAAGTAGTCACCTATTTCATTCTCGATAAATAAAATATCAATATCATATTACCAACAAAATATTCTCATCACGAATCTACATATACTCCCAAGTATAAAAAAAAGTAAACAAATCATTTGAGGACCAATAAACAGGGATTCAATATATTAAGAAGCACATTAAAATTCATTACCTTTTCTATGCCTTCAATGGATGAACAGTCAGTTTTGTCGCACCACCACCAGGAACAAGTTTCGAGTTTTTTTTATTATATTTCTTGCCACAACAATCGTGTTTTATGTACAAGTCGACTCCTAAAATTAAACTCACAGCTTCACAAAAAAAAAAGAGAGAAAAAAAATTAAAACCAAAACTCAAAAAATAACTGCAAAATTCGATGATGGTTGTACAAAAAATACTTTGGTGAACTCAAAAAATACCTGCAAAATTCGAATTACATTACATGAAAAATACAAAAAAACAATGAAAAACACTTTATTGATAAATTTACTTTGGTGAACTATAGTCACATGTAGTTATGTCTTCTTGTTACTACATATGACTATATATGACTATATGTAGTCAACTATAGTCACATGTAGTTGTGTTCATTCTTGTTACTACATGTGACTATATATGACTACGTGTACATGACCACATGTGACTATATATATGTATATATATAAAATTCCTCTACACCAGCAAAAAAGTTCACAAGTGAATCTATATCATATGTTCGCCTTCAGATTAGAACTGTATGATCATATAATCATGCATCTGTTAGAGAGGAAACATGATTGCCTACTTAATGTATCCTAAATTCCTAATAGACAGAAACCCCACAAGAAACGAAAAATAATTTAATTCCAGTTAATATACATCAAGATTAATACGGTGTGAGAGATAGGTATAGTGAGATGGCAGTTAACCAATGACCATTGTGCAAAAGACTTACACAGTTCAAAATGTCTACCAACTTTCTAATGTGTGTGAGGATTGACAACTAAGATAAGACCATCAAACAGATTCTAGAATTAGATAAATGTATGATCAGTAAACATACACTGGAGGGGTTTTTAAGTCTCTGTGCTTCATCAATTATCGCATAATGCCAATGGAAATTTCCCATTAACTGCTATTACCTACAAAAGGAAGTGAATTGTATAATTATAATTTGATGCAAATATTAAATAAATAAATAAAAATGAATTATCAAATAACAAGGAACATAGAAAAATACTAGTTTGGAATAACACCAGATATAAGAACTGTATAATTAATGTAAATCGTAATCGAAATCGAAACCGAAAAGGAATAGAATAAAATCTACATATAATTTACAGCTATAGTTTATCCATAATCAAAAATAAATTTACAAATTTGAGAAGTTATAAATCCGCACAAATCAAAAACAGAATCAAGTTCGATAAATCTAACTTCACCAATAACCAAAACAAAAACAAAAACAAAAAACACACACACAAACACACAGTGAACTGATGAAAATTGAAAAATTGAAAAAATGAAGGAATAATTCACCTGTTGAGGAACACCAGGTGGAGAAGCAGTGGTGTAAGAGATATCCAATTCAAAGTTGGTGAAGGGATCCGCGTCAAAACACACACCGGCGATGGGCATCAGTGGCGAGCGGCGCAGGCGGTGGGGGAGCAGATCTGGCTGCGGAGGGTTTGTCGATAGAGAGAGTTAGAGAGAGATGAAGAGAGAAGGGGGCCGAAGTTGTAACGGGTGGGTTGATACGTGGAAGGCTGGGCCTAGGGTTTTATGTATTGCGTGCCTCTTGGGAGGAGGGAGGGCCGAAGCCTCTTCGATGCGCACGTGTTTCTCAGCGCTACTTAGTAACTCTTCCAGAGTGGTTGGAGGTCTTCCTGCAATAGATTCCTTGAATCTACCTTCCTTCAAGTTTTGTTGAATGATTCTAGTGAGCATGCTTCCTCCCACGTTAGGAACTTTGTGAGATGCTTCTACAAATCGTTGAATGTAGTTGCGGAGGGTCTCGCCCTCTCTCTGGGTGATAGTGAAGAGGTACGCGGGAGTCTTTGCGTACTCTTTGTTGATAGCGAAATGGTGGGTGAAGCGATCTGTTAGTTGGGAGAGAGCTTCAATTGACCCAGTGGGCAAGGAGTTGAACCAGCTCAATGCTCGTTCGGAGAGCGTTGTGCGAAACATCTTGCATATTGCAGCATCAGTTGGACCATAAAGATCTGCCATGGCGTAGAATTTTTCAAGGTGCTCATGTGGGTCACCAGTTCCATCGAACTGTGGTAGACTCGAGACCTTTACCCGTTGGGGTAGTATCTCATTGACTATTGCGACAGTGAAGGGATTGTGCCTTATTGGAGGTATTGCCCTTCCACCAATGGGATTACCTATGTGGTGAAGGTGATTTGAGCGAGATACCTGACTGTTAATTTCATCCTCTCCACCATTGTGTGGAGGAGCTCGTTGGTGAGAGGTGTTGCCTCTTGAAGGTGAACGTGGGTCTTGTCGCCCAGTTCGTGCATCTTGGCGATGAGTAGATTGTTGCATTCGGGACCGTAGGTCCGAGGTAGAGGAGGAGACACTTATTTGGTTCTGGACTGGCGGTGGTGCCATAGGTTGCACCACAGGTGGAGCTGGCGCTGGTACCGCATTGGGAGCGTTTGCTCCCATCGTGGCGATATATTGAGCCACTGCCTCGGTGGCGGCGCGAGTTGAGGCTTCTACTATCATGCGTTGGAGCGCATCCTCGGTTATTTGAACCGTTCGAGGAGTAGGGAGTGGCGGATTGGCGAGTGGTGGGTCCCGATGGGGGATCACCTGAACCTCGCGAGGCGGTTCCTCGGCACGTGGAGGAGGTGGCAAGCCAGAGCCTCCACAGACCGGGAGGTTGTTAGCTGTGTCATTTTCTCTCCGAGCAGACGCCTCAGGAGGATCTTGTTGGCTACGTGATCTGGTTTGCATCGTTCCCACAGACGGCGCCAAAATGATGATGCTAATTACTTAGATCACCTGGGGTAGTGTAGAAAATGAATTGGGAGAGCAAAGCAGATCAGTAGCTTGACAACTTGATGATCCTGATGTACCTGCGAAATGAACACACGTGAACTACGCCGGGGGTTGATCCGGCGGAAACCCCTCCGACGCTCAAGTCAGACGTGCTGATAGTAGAAATAGTCCAGAGAATACGTATATTAGTATTGCTCAGTTAATAGGACGTACCTTAAGGAATGAGTTCAAACCTTTATTTCATAGCTTAGTTGAGATTGTCGGGCCCAAACCTTACTTGAAGGTGATTGGGCCTCGGTGATAATGGTCTTCGATATTGGGCTCGTGGCCCAGTATGTAAGGAAATTGTAGGCCCATTGGGTTGGCCCAATTAGGCATATCATTATATATATGCACACACGTATAGAATGATTATGTATGTGCATGCACGTAATTATGTATGCATGTAGTATATTTATACATGTATGTATG